CGAATAGCTCTGGAATTGTGAAAGGCCTGAAAGCTATCGCAGGGCACATTGAGGGCTGGTGGTCGGTCTGGACAGAATAATGCGGCCAGTATCTTACTGCCGGCATGTTGCCACACTCCACCACATCGAATGGAGTTCCATTTCCTGCACTGTATGCCCCTGCCCGGTTTTTTAAAACGATGAGCATGAGCAACAACATTTTGATGCATATTGGAAGCCGAAGACTATTGGAATAGAATAGGACTGAATTTCCGAGACTACCATGCACCCGCACAGTTCTTTGCGACAACCCTCCAGAGGCGTAACGCGAAAGGGCCGGCTCTAACTGCTTCGATTTTTGCGGAGTCTAGCTCGATGTTTTTGCATTCAAAACGCAGACAGCTAGGAATACAGTTGGGGTTCTATGAAACAAGGACACTTGAGTGTCTTTTACATACTACTGGTCGACAAAACCTCATGTGTGCATCCACGTGCAATTTCCCAGCTAGCGCAATATGTTTTTCTAGTACCTGTGGAGCTACTGCGTATAACGGCAGCTTTCAGGCCGGCCTGTGGCGGCCGAACATGGATTGTGCCACAGCCGGTTTCAGTGGATGAGCCAAAGCTACATCGAACCACGCGGCTCTGCTAGCTGTTTCACTCCATCACGCGGTTCCATAGAGAGAATCCCACGTCTGGAATCAACAGGAGTACAGTGAATACTTGTTGGGCGCTGTTCAAAAAAAAAGCTCTAGCCTCTTTCTGCCCGCACCCCTTAAGCTTGTGCCATGATGTAAGAGAACAGCAAGGTTGCGCGTAGGTGCACCTTCAAAGTAGTCCTAGCATTCACAGCTAGTTCCATGTAGCATCTAGCGCTCACGTACACAGCTTTCCGTCTCTTGCATCGAGATAACAGATATGTGCAATAACAGAAAAGTCAATAATTCAACTTGTTCATACTTTTACAGTATAATTAGTGCACTAAAAAGCATTCAAGTATAGCGTGGCTTGGTACTCATTTCTGTTCATCAGCGAGACGAACTCCGCACTTTATAAACAAGTGGACTCGGCGTTAGTGCCATTACTTTTAGGTGCAATGGCGGTCAGTCTCAAGGCTCTGACGAGGTCCTGGGTTCACCTGCCCTTTTTCGGGTCTGCTAGTATAGCAAAGCGGAAAAAGTTCAGCCAAGTTCCTGTTGCAGTGGAGCATAAGCACACTTTCAGTTTGCTAATACCTGCAAAGATGCATGGAGGTGATCTCAAATGTTCGATTAATAGCATCATGCATAATTATATGTATGTCGCTTTCACAGAAAAATTTGCCATCTATGTGCGTTCACAAGAGAACAGCTACATACACAGCCATGGCGACGCCCCCATGTAGACAATCGCCTTATGGCGAGTTGTCCAAGGTGATCATACTGAATAACGTCAAGAACATACAAATTCTCGTTTAGGGTTCAGCTGGCACCAGCCCGACACTGCTGCGAGAGGACAAAGTTGCTGCTTTCTACGACATCCCACACATCTAGATTCACTGAGGAAAACAGGCACGTACCGTGTATATGAACATCCACACTAATATCTATAGGGATCCGCGTTAGATCATACTGCACCACGACAGGACTTCCCGGACTCTATCACCAAAAATGCTCGACGCGCCCGTCAACAGGACGACTATAATGCAGACTATTGAGCCAAAGATATGCTGTTCTGCTTCTGTACGGTGCTAGCGCTTATGGCTGTGCAGCTTCTGCCTTATATGATGCAGCAGATTGCCATTCCCTCTTGCCGCTCCTTCCTTACATGCCCCTCTATCGCAGGGATCTGCAGCTGCACTAGGGACGCGCTCTGCGGGAGCATCGCCACTGGGCTCAAGGTTTGCGGCTCTGAACGCCCAAACAGCACACGTCGCTCCCCTAGGCCACGCGCAACATGCGCCATTAACCACATAGACAGCCGTAACCAGCTGCGACACCGCCGCTTCATACTAGTGACTCTTCCCCACGCATCCCCTACAGCTCCAAATGGAACCCCCAAAGCTCTGCAATGTAGTTTCGGTGAAGTAACATGCGAAACTAAACTACTCCAATGCACACTGGACCTGCGAGTACCCAGCGTTCGCAACCAGATAGACTAATTAATTGCTAAAAACCTCGAAACGTGTACCCCAATATCTTTTCGGGTTGCGAATTATACTCTTCTTGATTAGATATTACGGACGATGTCTGTGCGTTACAGTTCTATGGACGCACCAAGCAGACATGCAAACACGTGGGTCCGCAGCCGCTGTGTATATTCACGAACCAAGAAAAAGCGTAGATCGACAAAGCAAGAAAGTGGCTAGCAGCAAGACAAGAGTACCCGACGGTCGGAACACGTAGCCGCGAAACAAAAGAATGCGGACGGAAGGAAACCAACAAAGCCAAACCGCCATGTAGCAAACCTGTGCTGCATGCAGCCACTGCTTCCAACAGCTGCTATTCGATCTACATTATACACTCATAAAAACCTGGTTACATCGCACCCCTTACTTGCCGGCGTCAAGCTCGGCGAGGACCTTTTGCATCTCCTTGACCTCTTCGATGGAACCCTGAAGAGCAGCCTTCTCCATGTCATTAAGTTCAAGCTCGATGATCCTCTCGACACCGTTGCCGCCAATGACACACGGCACCCCCAAGTAATGGTTTTGTACACCATATTGACCCTCCAAATAGCATGAGCATACCATCACCCTCTTCCTGTCCTTAAGATAGGATTCTGCCATGCAAATGGCAGATGCACCTGGAGCATAATAGGCAGAGCCTTGGCCAAGAAGACGAACAATCTCTCCGCCAGCCACCTTGGTGCGCGCCACGATTTCTTCCACGTCCTTTTCACTAATCCATCCTTGCTTAATGCAATCCCCAAGAGGAATACCGTTAACAGTGGCCAGACGAGCTAGAGGAACCATGTTGTCGCCGTGAACTCCAATAACCATGGCCTGCACATCCCTGGGGGATACCTTCAGTTTGTCGGCGAGCATCCGCCGGAATCGGGAAGAGTCGAGCATCCCCGCCATGCCGCACACACGGCTGGGAGGAAGGCCAGAAGCCTCCCTGACGGCATTGACCATGATGTCAAGGGGGTTCGTGATGTTGATAACGAACGCACCGGGGCAGTACTTCTTGATGGCTGCTCCCACCTCGCGCATGATCCTGACGTTAACCGGCAGCAAATCCATTCTAGACCACTCCTGATCGCTCTTGCCGGGAATCTTTGTGATTCCGGCGGTAATAATGACAACATCTGCGCCTTGAAGGCACTCGTAGCTGTTTGATCCGTAAACAGTGACCCCAGTATCAACGACTGAAGAATTCTGCGACAGGTCCAAAGCCTTCCCCAAGGGCATGTCTGCAAACGCACAGCACACGTACTAACACAAAGAACCAGTTACATTACTAAGCCGGTACAAAACGGCCCTCCAAGGAGGACCAAGCAAGCCAGTCAATTGGCTGCGGTGCGTGTGCGCCAGCAACCGTTGCAGTAAGCAGGTACATCCGACTACAAAAAAGCTATGGCTGGTGATTAGATAAATAAAACGAATCTAAAAGTAGACTAGAACGCATTTACGATGCTGAGAAAACCTAATAGCTCAAGACGTACTTGGCACAACGTCGAATAGAACAACATCCCCTAGTTCCCTCAAGCTGCAAAGGAAGGCCATGGTTCCTCCGATCATGCCGGAACCAACAAGCGCAATTTTACTGCGGCTATTCCGCTCAAATACTGCCATTTTCGAACGTAAAATGGGGGGAAAGAAGGCAAAAAGCAAGGAAACAGTAGAGCCCCAAGCCAACGATCGCACGCCAGACACCGAACGTCACAATATTTTGGAGACAAATGAGGCCGTCTGTGCGACGGCAACAACAACGCAGAGACTGGGAAAGCTAAAATACTCGGAAACGAAATGACTCCCGATCACGCAGAGTACGCCAGGATGCACAGCTCCCTCGAGTGGCGGGTAGGCAATGGGGGGTGCATCACCGCACCCTTGCAGCAGCGCGAGGCACCAGCGTACGGTGAGTGCACTGCATCGGTCTTTCCACAAAAGTAGGTGTAACTCGATAAGCACAATGCAAAAGCTTGGACACATGCACGGATACCATAAAGAAGTTGATATGCTTTTCACGGGCAGTCGGGAATAGTCCCGTTCACCAACACACAGGACGAAATGCCACGGATGCCCACCGCATCAACCCGTGATGAAAACAGCGCACGCATTTGGCTTTTGGCGAGACACACACACATGGTACAGTGCAACCTGAAAAATGATACTTTGCCTCTTTACCACTCACTGTGCGTGCACTTAGTTACCCGACTTCACGAGTTATTGATATAGCAGGCTACGCTACACCTCACCACTAACTTCTATGCCACTTCAACTTTACCTAGGAATTGGCCAAGAATTGACTAACTGGCTCGTGTGTTGGCATACTTTATTTATCGCAAAGTAGTGCAGTGCGGTGCATGAAAATGGAATGCTTCGTGGGTGCACATTGGATGCAATGTGCAACTTGCTGTAGATGCTCGGAATGCTCAAAGGGTGCAGCTACGCTAATCCTAGCCATAACCCTCGCCTCACATCCGGAAAGGTAAGGGGCTCGAGCAGGGGCAGAGAGGAGCTCCTTCATGAACTAGCTTTCTATTAAGCTTGGAAGGAGTCTGGTGTAAATTGCCGCACAGTGTCTCTGAAGAAAGACACTTGGTTCTAGACTGGTTGCCTAATTGGTTAAACGCTTTTGAGAGCTTTTTCTAAACGGCCACAGCCTTCCGTTGACCGCAATCCATACAGTTCCCACCATGGAGGAAGGGACAGCAAAAGGAATGCCTTCACAGCTAGTCATACAGGACATCTAGCATGCACGCACACAACCATGCCGTCTCCTAGTATCAGCCCTAGGTTATTGTATGATCAATTAGGTATACGAAAAGACAAACGAATTAGTCGATTCTTTGCATCTTCATAGACAAAGATACATAGTGTGGAAGAAAGTGTTGAAGTGTAGCTTAGCCCCCTACATCAGCCGTGCGACAGGGCGGCCAACTGCCTATATAATGAACGGTAAAGAGAGAGCCGCTCCTTACTTTTCTGTCCCTGTACGTCTAGACCAACTGCATTCAAGACACCAGAAGACTTCCAGGCCAACTGCCAATCCCTAGGCAGGCAAAACCGCAAATACGGCGAACGCTGATGAGAGAACCAAACACGTACATGCCGTCAGGGAACTGAAGTCTGTGAGCCCCATGGAACAGGAAATTAGCAGCCAAGCGTTATGTGTGAAGGGAAACAAAAGCCCCACTTCTTCAGCAGCGCCTTCGCACCACAAAAAGCACCCTC